ATGGGCATTTCCAGTTACCTTCTGTAGGTGTGGGGAAAGAAGAACTAAAGGAATAATGTCACTGTGTCCATGGAGGGATGGGGTTATTCAAAGGTATGTCCCAGGGATGTTCCTTTAAGGTAGAAATGTACATTCTTAGAAAACAACTGGTATTTATTGACTGAAAAGAACACCAGCAGAGCAGACACTTGTGCAACACTGAACAACACAAATAAGCGTATTATAATCAAAAGGATTATATAAAAATTAAGGTACAAGCAGGACTGTAATGCAACTTAAAACCCACAGCACCATTTTCCTTCTAGAGAAAATACAAGAGATATAAATAACATCCATACTTCTTGTCACACACCTTGTACATCTTGAGGTAGACAAAAGGTTTGTTTCCCTTAAAGCACAGCCCTTTTTTTTCAAGTGACATATTCTATTGTTGCAAATCAGCCTCCCAGTCTGACACAAGATGCCTGAGGGTGAAGAAATGACTGTTGCATGACTGGGGGTTGTTACTCCACTCATTAATGGTTTTTGGCTTGCATGGCCCTTTTTGTTGATGTAATAAAGCCCCCTTGCCCCCAGCACTGCCCTGCCATGCCAGCACCAATGTTCCATGGATCCCTGGATCAGCCTCCAGGAATTACTGGTGTAGGATTGTTACGTGGGGCAGCCTCCTGGTGTGTGATTCCTTCCCAAGCAGGTTCAGCACCTGGGGATGGTGGAGTCCAAAAACACCAGAAATGGGACACAGCTCAGCAAAACTTTTTATAGAATCTCAGGATGGCTGGGTTGGAAGGGACCTTAAAGCTCATCCAGGGCATGGGCAGGGACACCTTCCACTAGCCCAGTTGCTCCAAGCCCCCTCCAACCTGGCTTTGGACACTTCCAGGGCTGGGGCAGCCACAACTTCTCTGGGCAACCTGTGCCAGGGCCTCACCCCCCTCACAGGGAAGAATTCCTTCACAATATCCCATCTAACCCTGCCTCTGGCAGTGGGAAGCCATTCCCTGTGTCCTGTCCCTGCAGGCCCTTGTAGAAGTGTGACTGATGGAGGTGGACGGATGGATGGATGGATGGATGGACGGATGGATGGATGGATGATGGATGGATGGATGGATGGATGGATGGATGGACGGATGGATGGATGGATGGATGGATGGATGGATGGATGGACGGATGGATGGATGGATGATGGATGGATGAATGGATGGATGGATGGATGGACGGATGGATGGATGGATGGATGGATGGATGGATGATGGATGGATGATGGATGGATGGATGGATGGATGGATGGATGGATGGATGGATGGATGACAGATGGATGATAATGGATGGCTATTTCCCTCATGCAGGGATCCATGACTACCAAGCCCAGCACCAAAACACACCAGGAGAGGCAATAAATGCTGGCCTAGGAGCTGCACACAGAGACAGGCACCAGGACAAGGACAGGGACTGGCCTGTGTGTGCAGCATAGCCCTCGTGTGTGCAGGGAGGGCCCCAGGCAGTTTGGAGTAGTGGGGCTGTGGCTGTCCTCAGGTTATTTGGCTCTCAGGCACAGAGGAAAGGATTCAACCCAAACCAGGACACTCCACGGAACAGCATGTGCAGTTCAGATTTTTCCCATCAGTAGTCACTGAGGTACATTTGCACTTGGAAAAGGGTTTTTTTTATACTGTATAAGCTTTCACCTTTGCTGCTGTAAAGATTCCCATGTAAAGACTCCAATGAGATCTCCTTGTATCTTCATTCCAGCAATTTGCACATGTAACCAAATCCCCTGGATTTGCCAGACATTGTGGGGTGTGCAGCACAATTAAAGAGCTCCCACAGGACCCCATGGAGACCCAAGGTCTTCACAGCCCAGATCTCCAGGAGGTGGCAGAAGAGCTTTGCTGAAGATGATGCTTGGTCTTGGCTAGGAAGAAAATACAATTCAAGCTAAGGATACCAACAAACAGACCCAGGTTTTCTCCCTGATCACACAGAGACTCCCACTGCTGTCAGTTGAAGTAAATCACATTTTGGAATATCAACCCAATTAACCTCAAGTTTGGGTGATAAAACAGCCCTGGACAACTGCATGAAAAAGCAAACAAGCAAAACCACCAAGGTATCTGCCTCAAGCAAACTCTGTCACTCCTTTATCCAGATCATCATTCCTAAAACACTTAGTGCTAAGGACACCAAAAGGACTGACACTAGTGTTGCCTCAAACCCAAAGTATGCTCCAGTCTTTTCCCCAGCCCTCAAATGGGGCATTTTAAATTCTTTATTTCCCATCAGTGTTCATTGTCTGGTTCCCAGACTGAGCAAGGCTGTGCTACCTGGGGTAGAAATGGGCTCTGAGTTAACCTGGCAGAGCAAAGGTGGGACCATCAGACATCCTGTCCAGACCTGGCTTAACAGCCAAATCTACTTCAGCCCAATGCCAAACCTCCATATTCCACAGAGCCCAAACCCACCCCAGGGGTACCAGAGAATGAACCATTCCTTAGGTCTTCTCCATATTCCCCCTGCCTTAAGCAGCTCTGAGCCATGCAAGGCAAGGAGCTTCAGGCCCCAAAGTCCCCTTTGGCGCATGAAGAAACTTAATTTTCCTCTGAAATATCTTTTTGCCCAGTTTTTATTCAGCAACTCCTGTTGAACTGCTCAAGTGCAGCTTTGATAAAAGCAAGAGGGCAGAGTGGTGTCTCCTCCACTTGCTTCCCAAAGAATGGGATCCAGCTGTGCTTCTCCCTCCTTCCAGTGAGTCCCAGTCCCTGTTTAAATGGGAAAGATCCATATAATGCCATGGGATCCCCAAATGGGATCCCTGTGGTGGGATATTCCCTTTCTCTCTGATGCTGGACAAGCCCAGAGGTCTGTGGGGCAGAGGGTTTGGGATCAGTAGTGTAGAGCAGAGTGAGTTCCTTGGTCACTTCACCTATGATGCTAATTTTAGCTCATTTGGAAGCTTTTTCATTGAGTGCCCAACACTGAGACCCATGGGAAGATTTCAACTCCAAAAGGATTAAAAGCAACATACGGTCTGCTCTTGGGTATTTAGGAGGTAAAAAAAATAAGGCTAATTAAGCCTATTTGCAGTATTATGTCTGTCATAAATACTTTAATTCAGTTTAAGTCAACTTGAGCCAGAAAGGGGATAAAAAGGAATAAACCCTTTAAAAGACCTGTATCTGGGGAAAGGGAAGGTCTTGGTGGCCTCTGAACAGCCAGATCTGCTCTGAGACAGTTCTGTTCCAGCACCTCAGGGAGCAGAAATCAAACAGAGTTGTAAAAAATAAAGGGGCAAACAGTTCAAGGTGTGGGCACACACTCCTCCCTGAGAAGGGGCTGTTCCAACAGCTGTGAATGAACAGCTGAGTCCAGGAGATCCACACTTCAGAGCTGGAGCACATAGCTGGCATCTCAACACCTCCCAGGAGAACCCAATCCCGTGGAAAGCTCACCCTATGGATGAGCCCGTCTAGACAACCCAAACCAGCACCTTCACCCGTTCCCTTGCCAGTGAACCTGGATCTGAGCTCAAGGATTTCCACATTCCTTGCAGCACCACTCTGGCTGGTTTATCCCCATTGCCAAGACTGAGCACACACAGCAGCTTTGTTATCTCAGGGACAATCCAGAGCTGCTCACAGTAGGAACACTCTGCTGCTGCTGCAGGATTAGCCAGGAAAACCCCTGGAGTAGGAAAATACACTGTCATAGAGCTGATCACCCAGAGAGGTTGTGCCACACACACATTTACCTGGGGGCTAGATCAGGGGATGCCTCATTGCCATTCCCAAAATTGCTCTGTAAACCACAGCCAAAGAGACTAAATAGGCTGTTTCTATTGTGTTCAACTTAAAGTCAACTAGGAAAACACGGCTTAAAGTCTATATAGACTGTAACAGACTGTGCTCTCTCCCCCAGGTCACCTTCTGCCATGGCAGATGCAGTGTGTGGATAGATCCAATTTCTCAGGTCAGAGATTGTCATCTCATGACTTGCAAATTCTTCAGATGCCCAAATTCCTGTGGTTCCTAATTCCCTTTCAGAACTTTTACCTGTCATTAGCACAGGGCAGGGCTGTGGGATGTGACACACCTCGGGCACCAGGCAGAGAGTGGTGCACACAAGACAAGAAGGTGATTGATTGATTGATTGATTGATTGATTGATTGATTGATTGACTGGGGGAGAGGGGGAAGAGAGATGTATAATTGGCACCACCACCCTGGATCCACCACCACAAAATCCCCCCTGTGAGGCTGCAGATGGGGAACTTCACAGCCCTCCTGTGACACATCCACTGCCACAGAGGCAGTTCCCGGCTCCTGTGTACAGCAAAGTTAAAATGTGGTTAAAATCCCCTTGGAATCAAATGTCCAAACTACAGACCTGGAAGATGATGGACACGAGCTCCATTTGTTTGTAAACTGGTACTTCTGAGGCACAACTCTTGCACCAAAATGAGGCTGTTCAGCAGTGTGTCTTTGAGTTCACAGCAGAAAGGATCCAACCAGCTCCCGGGAACAGCACTGGGAATCCCCTGCTGCCAGAGTCTTTTTGCCTTGGTGCAGGAACACGGTTGTCCCTGCTGCATCAGGATCCAATCTCTGGTTTTACTGCCTCCTCAGTCCCTTAATTCTCTCCTCTCCAGGAACCAGGGCACAAGCCCTCAGTATCTCAACGTCACCACCCCAAAATAAGTGCACCTGAGGGATGGAGGAGGACGATATTCCTGAAGAGTAAAAATTTTAACTCAAGAGAGATATATGTCACTGTTTCAGTGTTTCTGCTGTCCCACATTCCCCCCCCTCCATTCCTCCTTCCTGATCTGACACCTGACAAAACCTCTGGTTTCCCCTGCTCCTGCAGGGGCTCTCCCTGGGCTGCAGGATGCCAACGCTGAGGACATAGGAGCACTGCACGTTTCTGGTGCTGGCCTTTGCCCTCACCCCGCAGCAGAGAATGGTGTCTCTGTCTCCCGACAGCTCCCCCGGCCTCATCCTGCCCCTACTGTTTGCAGCTGTACACCACCTCCTCCTGCATGCACTGCTGGCACTCCACGTAGCAGCACCACTGCACCTGGCAGTGGCAGGAGAAGGTGACCAGCCTGCTCTGGGTGTTGTAGCCTCTCCCGCAGCACATGCTGTCGCAGTTGCCCTCCCTGGAGCAGGTCCTCCCCGCGGTGCCCAGCGAGTATTTGCTGGGGCGGCAGAAACTGGGCGAGTCCTCCACGTACACGAGGTCGGTGGCGCGGGGGGCCGGGGGCAGCCGAGGGGACTGCCCGTGCCGGGGGGGCCCGGCCAGCTCCGAGTGCCCCACGGCATCGTTGGTGGTGCTGAACACCTTGACGGCGTCGTCGTAGCGAAGCTTCAGCAGCCGCCCGATCTCGTGGAAGGGCGAGAGCTGCTTCCAGCACGTCCGCACGGCGCAGGAGCCCGACACGCCGTGGCACTTGCACGTGGTTTTCAGGCCGTTCTTCACCGCCTGAGGAGGAGGAGAATCATAGAATCATAGAATCACAGAATCATAGAATCAAAGAATCATAGGATCAGCTGGGTTGGAAAGGACCTCTGAGATCATCAAGTCCAACCCTTGACCCAACACTGCCGTGGTTCCCAGCCCATGGCACTGATGCCACATCCAGTCTCATCTTAAAAACCTCCAGGGATGGTTAATCCATCCCTTCCCTGGGCAGCCCATTCCAATATCTGATTACCCTCTCTGTAAAAAATTTCTTCCTAATATCCAACCTACACCTCCCCTGGCACAGCTTAAGACCATGCCCTCTTGTCCTACTGCTGCTTCCTGGGAGAGGAGCCCAACCCCCACCTGGCTACAACCTCCTGTCAGGGAGTTGTAGAGAGTGAGGAGGTCTCCCCTGAGCCTTCTCCTCTCCAGCCTCAACAACCCCAGCTCCCTCAGCCTCTCCTCACAGCACTTGTGCTCCAGTCCCTTCCCCAGCCTCGTTGCTCTTCTCTGCACCTGCTCCAGGACCTCAATGTCCTTCCTGAACTGAGGGGCCCTGAACTGGACACAGCACTCGAGGTGTGGCCTCACCGGCACTGAGCACAGGAGAAGAATCACTTCCCTGCTCCTGCTGCCACACTCTTCCTGAGCCAGGCCAGGATCCATTGGCCTTCTTGGCTGCCTTGGCACACTCTGGCTCATGTTCAGCTTCCTGTCCATCCCCACTCCCAGCTCCCTTCCTGCCTGGCTGCTCTCCAGCCACTCTGTCCCCAGCCCGTGGGGCTGCAGGGGGTTGTTGTGGCCAAAGTGCAGGACCCAGCACTTGGCCTTGTTGAACCTCATCCCATTGGAATCAGCCCAACTCTCCAGTCTGTCCAGGTCCCCCTGAAGAGCCCTCCTGCCTTCCAGCAGATCAACACTCCCCCCCAGCTTGGTGTCATCTGCAAATTTGGTAATGGTGGACTTGATCCCCTCATCCAGATCATCAATAAAGATATTAAACAGAACTGGGCCCAGCACTGATCCCTGGGGGACACCACTGGTGACCGGATCCCAACTGGATGCAGCACCATTCCCACCACTCTCAGCTCGGCCCTCCAGCCAGTTCCTAACCCAGCACAGAGTGCCCCTGTCCAAGCCATGGGCTGCAGCTTTTCCAGGAGTGTGCCATGGGAGATGATGAAGTGGTGGACTTTATCTGAGCCTAGTTCTGGGCAGAGGCAGAACCTCAGAGCACAGACAGCCTGCAAGGACTTCAGTTTTATTAGTATTATTTCTATTTTATGAGGGAAAAAGTAATAGTAGTTTAAAAAAAAAATGAAGCACAGGGATGGCTACAGAGTAGACTGGTGAGCCAATGAGTGGAAAGCTCGAATGAGAACAAACAGTTGAATACCAAATAAGTTCTTCCTAAGCCTATTTGGCCCAGTAGGAGTAAAAAAAAACAAAAAAAAAAAAATCCAAAATAGTATCCAGCATGGTATATTCAAATGCAGACAGTGCTCTGATCGAACAATGAACTGGACTCAGGAAATGGGAAACAGTGATAAGCCAGTAGCCTGTAGAGGCCAAATATGGAGGCCAATAATGCCAACAGAGGCCAAAATGTTCAGTCTAATGGTCTCCCTGACCCAAACCTGTGACATCACGAGTTCCACAGCAAGTCACCAGCAGACTCATAATTGACCTCAAGAGTGTCAGCCCTTACTCTGCCTTACACATCCCATCAGCTCTGAAGCTCTGGCTGTTCACAGAGCTCCCTGTGGCTGTGGCACAGCCCATGGAGTCACTCAACCACTGAATGTTACAGCTCTTCCTGGGCTGTGTGTTGCTGTCACGCAGCCCCTGGTACCACCAGAGGATACAGGATGCTCCTCTGCCTGTCAACATGCAGCTCCTCACACCAGAGTTCAGGAGACTTTCCAGGGAGTTCTTACTGCCAGGACACACAGACAGAGGCACTGTTGTTTGTGAGCAGGGGCAGGGAATACCCCCCTCACAAACAGCCTCAGTTGGGGATGGGTTAGAAGACCTGAGGTCACTCCCACCCTGCCGGTGCGGGTCCTCACCTTGATGCCCACGTTGGTGTTGTGGATGTCCACCTTGGCCCGCAGGTCTTTGCCGATCCTCTTCTGCCCCAGGAACTTCTTGAGGAACTTGGTGCTGTACTTGAGGTTGTCCCCGCAGACCCCCCACTGCCAGGCCTTGCGGTTCTCCAGCCCCGGGGAGTCGTCGCACGTGCAGCGCTCCATGCGCCCCGCGCTGCAGGCCCGCGCCAGCGAGTGCGTCAGGGCCGCCGAGGACACGGCGTACAGGAAGGCCGTCTCCTTGAAACCTGCATTGGGACAGGGTAGGAGCAGGGTAAGGTGTTCAGCCGCCTCTACTGGCTCTCCTGACTGTCCATGGACTAAAACAAAGCACGACAATTATAAACTCAAAGAGACAAAACCCAATGAGTGCGTGAGGGCCACCGAGGACACGGCGTACGGGAAAGCCGTCTCCTTAAAACCTGCACGGGACAAAAACACTGCTTAGCTGTGCTGCTTAGGTGAGCAAAATGGGTAATCTGGGTGTGGAAGTTTCAAAAACAAGAACAAATCTAAAAAGAAAAACCCAAAAACTAAACCAAGCCCACACCGGGTGCTGTTCTTGCTTGTTGTTTCCTGTGTGCTGATTGAACTAACGGCTAGTCTGGATTTCTTCTGCAACCTTGGACTTCTAGAGGATAAAAATAGCCCAGAGAAGAGAAGACTAAGGGGAGACCTCATTGGTGTCTTCAACATCCTCATGAGGGGAAGCAGAGGGGCAGGTACCTATACCTTCACTCCTGTGACCAGTGACAGGACTCGAGGAAACAGCATGAAGCTGAGTTGGGGGAGGTTTAAGTTGGATATTAGAAAATGGTTCTTCACTCAGAGGGTGATTGGGCACTGAACAGGCTCTCCAGGGAAGTGGTCACAGCACCAAGCCTGACAGAGTTCAAGAAGCGTTTGGACAATGCTCTCAGGCACATGATGTGACTCTTGGAGTGTCCAGGAGTTGGACCCGATGATCCTGATGGGTCCCTTCCAACTCAGCATGTTCTCTGATTCTGTGATTCTGTGATTGGGACAGGGTAGGAACAAGGTAAGGTGTTCAGCCACCTCTACTGGTTCTCCTGACTGTCCATGGACTAAAACAAAGCACGACAATTGTAAACACAAAGAGACAAAACCCAGCGAGGGACACGGAGGACGGGGCAGAGGGGAAGGCAGTCTCCTTAAAACCTTTGTGGGACAAGGATTAGGAAACGGCAAGAGCAGGAAAGGCAAAGTAATAAAAAGGTTGAAGACTCCCTCACTGGCTCTCCTGACTCCTCATGACTAAAGCCAAGCACAATAATCACAGATACAAAGGCACAAAACCCAGCGAGTGTGTGAGGGACACGGGACATGGCAGATGGGAAGGCAGTCTCCTTAAAACCTGCACACGAGAAGGACAGGGAGAGGGTAGAAGCAGAAAAGGTAAAATATGGTATTCAGCCACCTCACTGGTTGTCCTGATTGTGCATGGACTGAAAAACTAAGCACAATAATTACATTAATTATAAATACAAAGAGATTAAACGCTTTACTTGCACACCACTCTATCAGAGAAGCTCCACATCGTGTTTGAAGTAACTGGTGTAGTGACACCCCAGTCTCACCCCATGGCTGTGACTGGTTCCATACAACTTCCTTGGGAGGGGCAGAGGAGGGGCAGGCCCTGAGCTCTGCTTTGTGTGACCAGGGATAGGACCCAGGGAACGGCCTGGAGTTGTGTCAGGGCAGGGTCAGGTTGGATTTTAGAAAAAGGCTCTTCCCCCAGAGGGTGGCTGGGCACTGACCAGGCTCCCCAGGGCAGTGGGCAGAGCACTAGGGCTGCCAGAGCTCCAGGAGTGTTTGGATGACACTCTCAGGCACAGGCTGTGACTCCTGGGGATGGGCCTGTGCAGGGCCAGGAGCTGCACCCAATGATCCTTGTGGGTCTCTTCCAACTCAACATATTCTGTGACTCTGTGACATGGACAGGACACCACTCATGGATCAAGGGAGGGGTGGGAAAACATCCAACTGCAAAAAGCGACAGCCGTGAAACTCCGTTTGTGCTCACCCTCCCCACGGGCTGAGGGGTGTGAATAGAGACTGCCACCGAAATCATGGGGTGGCCCAAAATCAGCAAATATGGAGTAGAGACTGGGAAAATATTTTTAAAATCTGGCCTGTTACTCAAACATGTTTTTCATTGGGGCTGTCGTGGTATTTCCCATGGAAAGATCACGTGTAGTTTGGCTGGCAAGGGTTGCATGTTGAAGGACATCTTGGCAAGAAGGACAACTCTCCCACATGGGAGTGGGGTTTCTGAATTCCTTGTAAATGATCCACTCCCAGTGACTGTAGGGTTGTGTTCTGAAGCTGTTCTCCTCCCAGAGGAGGCTTCTCAGGATTGGTTACAATCCCTGAGGTTGTGGTGTGACCATGGCACACCAGGACATTTAACCAGGAAACAAAGTACAGGGACTGAATGGAAATTCAGCCTGGAGATGTGAGATCAGACAGGAATGGGAATATTGATACGACACCCAGGAGCTCCACAGAAGTTCTGGAAACTCGGATTGACACAAACCTGACCTAAACCCCAAAATAGTTTATTTACTCATTTATATTTACCTCTTTGTCTATTCAATCCTGGGGATAATCGTAATATTCTTTCAGCAGTTCATTTGTAGAAAAGAAAACTATTAATGAGAAATTGTTTAACAAGTCCACAATTTAGGAATTAGTGCAAGGAAGAGAGACAGGTGACTGATCAACAGCTCTACGTGCAGGAATGGGTAAGATCAGCCAATATAGAAAAAAATTGGTTTATGAGAAATAGAGTGGTGGTACATTGCAAGGAGGAAAACACATTGAAGCAAACAAATATTCCACATGGGAAAATTCCGAATTTCCTTCCACATCAGAAGGAAAATCTGTTTACCCCAATAATGGAAGAGAGAGAGACAACCACAGAGACTTGATCTAGATTTACAGTTACCTGCTTGGAGCAGAGGTTGGAATTCACCTCTAGAATTCACCAAGTCCACCCTCAGATCTTTCCCTTATTATGTTCCCTCAAAGAATTCCCATCAAGTTGTAATAAGAGATCAGGCCACTGACTGCTGACATCTGAGTAACACCACCACAAATGTGACCCGAGAACAGGACACAGAGCTCTCCTGACAGTTGTCAGCAAGAAGAATGAGAAGTGTGACTGACCATGAGCACAGTGGAGAGGCTGCATTACCAGCTTCAATACACACTCCATAGGAGCTCTTTGGAATTGCAGAATTGCAGATAAAGATCCAGCAACAGTATGGACATGAGGGGAGAGTCAAAATATGGAGGAGATAAGGAGATCAACCAACCAACTCCTTCCTGCCTCACCATCTTGGTCGCTGTAAGCACTGGGACAATAATTTGCAATTAGTCTCTCTGGTTGATGATGCTCTACAAAATTTCTCAGGGTACTGGAAAAACAATGAAAGGATGTCACCAAATCCATCAAAAGTTTTAGAAAAGCTGGTGTGGGACGCAGCCACTACAGACTATGGACAGCAACATGGTGCTCACACATTTTCAACAGTGGCCAACCCACACCAGAGAAGGAGCTAAGAGGGGGTGAAATATATTTGAGATCCTAAACCTGTTAAATCATTCCAGAAGCCAATCTCCAAATGTTTACCAGATTCCCAGTTTCCTCTCTGACACACTGATCCCAGAAGCAAGGAGAACATTCCAGAAGGCCTTTCCCATACCATGTGAAGGCAGCAGTCCCCGGCAGCTCCTCAGCCCCTGCTAAATCTGGCTCTGTGGAACACCACACTGCTCCAGCTATTTCTGACCAGCAATGCTTTGGTTATCCTGTGGCACTCCATGGAAGTGCTGGCCAGCTCTCAGCCCACTGGAAATCAGAGACCGTGGCTTGTGGTCAGGCCACTGCAGACAGCAAGGACTGCACATACCAAGCAGGCTTTCAAATCATCTCCTTCTCCACCCCTCCCACCTCCTCCTAAGACAAAGCTTCAACATCTCCAGGCTGCCAAATGCTTGTCCAAAAAGTCTGAAATGATTCCTCGTTCTTTATCCTAAGGGATCGATCACCATTTAATGGTTAATTTACAAATCACGCGAGTAAAGGGAGAACTGAAAGGTCCTTCAGCCCCTGTGGAATAACAACATGCAACAGAGCAGCAGCTGGATTTTCAGTAGGACACACCACAAATGGGCAGCAATCAGCTCCAAGGAGCATGATTTAAGATCTGAGAGAGATTTCCCCATGTGTCCTGGTATCCTTCCTCCCTCTGTCACCAGAGCCAGCGGAGCCTGGAGCCGATGCTGGGCTATCAGGACCCGCTTTGGGGATGAGTCACTCCCCTGACCCCACTGACTGGGACCAAATGGAATCTGACACTTGGGGCAAGGGGGAACATCTCCATGAGATGTGTTTGCTGGGCAGTTTGGTTGCAAACATCCAGCACAGAAGGAATTTCAAGATGCTGCAGCAAACCAGCCCCCTTGGTAGGACCTTGCACGGGTCCAAGTCCTCCCCTGAGCTCTCTGGGAGGATTTCTGAGCTCAGCAGCCTATAAATACAGAGAGATGTTTGCTGCAATGGCACCACTGTTCTGAGTGTGGTGTGCTCCAGACCACAAGGAAAACTATAACAGGAGGAGTTCAGCCATGGGCTGGTTCTGCCAAAGGAAAGATGTTCATGGGCAATGATTTTTCAGTGCTACAGTGAAGGTGAGTGTTTCAGAGCAAGTGGAGGAGGGAAAACAATCACATCAACAGACCAACCAACCAATCAAAAAAGAACTGTAGAAAGATTTAGGATGGAAGGATTCTCAAGGTCTTTAGCACAACCTCCTGCTCAAAACAGGGCTAACTCAGTGCCAGCTGCTCAGGTCTTCCCCAGCTGAGTTCACAAAATCTCCCATGGTGGAAATTCCACGTCTCTGAGCTACCACTCCACTGCTGTACCATTCCTAGATTCCTCATGACATCAATGAAACCACTGCCTGAAGGTCAAAGAATCCAGCATGAGGCCAAGAAATGGACTGATGGATGGAAGGATTGTAGAGTGCTCATTTCCCAAGAAGGATTTTTTTGAGTGCCTGCATTTGAACTCTTTGCTCAAATTTTATTTCTCTTCCCTGAATCACCATCTTGTTTGAGATGAAATTCTGTTTACCTGACCTCCAGCAACCTTTATGGCACTCCTGGGACACCAAACAACCATCAGTGCTTTACAAAGACACCAACTGCCACCATGCAACAGGTTGGCTTGAAATGTCTCTCCAGAATCATTTTAAATCTAACTCTTACCATGGATTTTTAAGGAAGTGGAGAAGGAGTGCAGAAGGATTTTGCATGCATCAGTGAACAGTAACAGCTGTCATAAGTGACAATGGTCACAGAGGAGTGGTAGGTTATGCAAAGGGAGTTTCCCAGTTGTATCCAGAGAAGTATCCAGAACAACAAATAGTGCAGACTGTGACTATAAATCTGGCATTTCAAGGACTAGAAAGCCCTTGGTCTTTTTGGGGTTTTCCCCATCTCTAGAAGCAGAAAAAACATTGATGATCCAAATCAGTCACAGCAGTTTGGGACTGCCAACTGAGTGTGGCTTTTCACCCCTCACAGCTCACTAGGACATGACCTCTCTTGCACTTGTGAGACCTTTAAAGACTGTTCAAAGTGTGTATTTTTCTTTATGGTTTCTCTGGGACCATGGAGCTATCAAATGATTTGATCATTCCTAAACTCTTCAACTTCAGCAAAAGGAGTCCATTGTCTGACCAACAATTTCCAAGAGATTTCCAAGAAATGTGAGAAACAGACCAAAAGTGGCAGCTGAGAGTGTTCCTGTTCTTTGTGAAGGAACCAAACTCCTTTGGAAGCTGAAGGAAAATGAGAACCAACAACTGCTCCCAACCAAGTGTCCCCTCACCCAGGAAGGGCACCCAGCATACTTTGCTGTATTGAATCATCATTTGAGCCTTAAGATTGTGTAATAAAAGTTTTCAAACACTTCTCCTCATCTGCCGAAACAGGTTTTAAATTACAGGTGATATTTTATTTTGTCAGTCAGGAGTCCCTGGAAATGTTAAGGCTTGTCACCGCCAGATAATGAAATGTTTTGCAGCTATTTGAAGAGGAGGATTATTCAATTGTCATTTTCAAGTTCTTTGAGGTTGATGAAGGTGCAGGTGTCAGAAAAACACTCAAACTGATCACGAACAGCTTCTTCAACTAAAGAAATTTGCTTTCGTGTGCTAAAAAAAATCACAACAGAGTCTTGCAATGAGGTAAATCTGACCCTGTATGTGCTGGTTTAATAAAATATTAACTTCATATTTAATATAATAAAAATTGATAATTTTAAATGAAAATGTTAAAAATTTTCAATCCAAATGCTACTTAAAATTTGCATTTATTTTCATCAAATTTAATTTTGGCTTGTCTGGACTCTTTTTAAAAAAAATTAAGTTGCTAAATATTATTAAAGGACTGAAACTCAGTAATTCTGAAGAATGAAGTTTAGTAAATGCCACTAAAATTTATTGAAGGGCTGAAAGTCGGTAACACATAATGAGGCTTTGTTTGGATCAGGACAGGTTTAGCAAAGATACTTTTACTAAGAAATGGTTTCAGTGTCTGTCTTAATTCTATTTTTCTCAAGTTCTTATAATTTGAAGGATTTGTTATGCTCCCTCCTACCTCAAATAGAGAATTTAAGGACATTTTCTTCCTCTAAAGCATTTTGGGAAACAGAAGCCAATGGCTCTTCTGTCCACTCTGAACTTCTACAAAAACTCCAGATTTATGGGAAGGAGTCTTAGGAAAGATTTGACAACTTGCACTGAAATGCAGGTATAAACAGTCATGCTGACAAACAGAAAATAGGTATAAGTTTTGTATCTGAGAATAACAAATATAAATATCCGAAGACCTAAAAAGAGTTTTTTCTTAAAACATCCCTTGACATCAGGCACTGTCCCTTTTTCCCACAGTATCACCCTGATTCCCAGCTGAGGAGGATGCTCAGCCCGGGGAACTCCAAGCAAAAATCCACAAGCCAAGGGTGACGACTTCCTTCTACTCTCCAACGCATGACAAACCCTGCAGGAAACACGAGGACAAAGCTTGTTTTGCGGCAAAGGGGCCCAACGCGCCCGTTCCTGGGTGAAATGGATGATCTGGGCACTCTGGGCACTCCCTGGTGCCAATCAAACCCCCTTGGCTTGATCTGAGATGGACGTTCCAGGGGCTGCAGCACCGGGAGTTTCCCTGCCAACCAACTACCTTGTACCTCTCTTGAGCAGGCTGGTCCTCCCCTCCAGGCTGCAGTTCCAGCGCTCGCTGCGGAACTGGAACTGGCACTCCATGATCCCGAGGCGGATGGAATCCCGCAGGGTCTCGGCCAGGCCCGGCTCCCGCCGGCACAGCCGCTTCTGCTTGCGGGACAGCTGGAGCAGGTCACACTGCTTGACGTGCACCCTGCCCTGGGCAGAGCCCGGGGAGGGCCCCAGTGACGGGAAGTGGGTCAGGGCTTCCTTCCCGGTCAGGCTGAAAGGAAGCAGGAAAAGCAGAGGTTATGGATCCTTCATGGTCACGGCACCAAGCCTGGCAGAGCTCAGGGAGTGTTTGGGCAACGCTCTCAGACACAGGGTGTGACTCTTGGGGATGGGCCTGTGCAGGGCCAGGAGTTGGACTGGATGATCCTTGTGGGTGCCTTCCAGCTTGGCATATTCTGGGATTCTCTGAAGGCCAGGTGGGACAGGAGCTCTGAGAAACCTGCTCTAGTGGAAGGTGTCCCTGCCCATGGCGGGGAGTGGGGCTCAGTGGCTTTTAAAGGTCCATTCCAACCCAAACCATTTGGGGATTCTATGATGATTCTCAAATGGCAGCCATGGAAAGGTAATTGGAGGGCAGGATATTTGGAAAGCTGCAGCTCCTGGTACTTTACCAGCTCAGAAGATTAATCACTAAAGATTAGATCTTGTATCCCATCTCCACCACACACCAAGGCAAAGTACCACAGCAATGCTGTGGGGAGGAAGGAAAAACAAGTGTGTTGTCTCCAGCAACCCCAGGTGGGAAGGTTCTCTTGGCTCCGTGACAGGGTGACAAGGATGTGGAGGGGACTGGAGCATCTCTTGGGAGCAAGGAAAGCTGAGGGAGCTGGGGCTGTTCAGCCTCCAGAGCAGAGCCTGAGAAGGGCCCTCCCCAGGGTGTGTCAGGGGCTGCAGGGAGGGGGCAGAGGAGGGACCAGGCTCTGCTGGGAGGGCCCAGCAATGGCACAGGAGGAACGGGCAGGAACTGATGCCCGGGAAGTTCCACCTGGACAGGAGGAAGAACTTCTTTGCTGGGCAGTGACCCAGCACTGAACAGGTTCTCCCAGAGTGGGTGTGGACTCTTCCTCACTGGAGGTATTCCAGACCCCTCTGGACACAATCCTGTGCCATGTGCTCTGGGATGGCCTTGCTTGAGCAGGAAGATGGGACCAGCCACTGTCCTTTCCAACCTGATCTATTCTGGGATCCTGGGATCCTGTGACATGTCTACACCCCTTCAGTTTGTTTTCCTTGCCAGTCACAGAGTGAGTTCCCAGTTCCTTCCGGTGTCCCATACAGAGGTCCCGTGGTGCTGCAGGTCACAGCTCTCCAAAAAGCACTAACCATGTCCTTCCCAGGATTTGTGCCACTGGACATACTAGGAAAGCCCAGTGGGGAGGCAGTATCAATGACCACCTTTCTACAGCAAGCATAAGTTTTGCTGGAAAACATATTCTTGCTGAAAAAATAAAGGAAAGGTCAAAAAAAAATGTCCTGTCAAATGTAACAGCAATGCACTTACGTGTTCAGGTAACTCAGCTGGAAAATGCAACAAATTTTTGAGACAAATGTTTTCCCTTTTATGGCAAGACAATATTTTTTCTTGCAAAATTTATCTTTAGGATGCTTGAAAACACAGAGAAGTTATTTTACTTTGATGCAAGATTTGAGGGCTGCAAACACACTGGGAGCAGCCATGGGATTGCACAACAGGGATCTGGTGAAGCCAGAGCCAGAGGGGGAAAGCTGAAGTCACAAATTCAGAGCTTGAGCAGACACAGTTTAACTCAGGCCTGTTGAGCTCCCCCTGCTTTGTCAGGGGCTTTGATGCATTTCAAGTAGAAGCTGTAAAGCCAGGACTGAGCTCTCCTGTAGCTCAGGGGTGTCTGATTCCCATCGAGGGCTGACTCAGGAAGGACAATGTGGTGCAAAAGGTATTGCTTAAATCTGCATGAGTGTGAAAGGGAGAAAAGGTGGTACCTGATTGCCAAACACAGGATCACAGAGTGCCCCAACCCCCACCCAAAAATACCAAAGCCAGATCAATGGAAACATCCTGGAACCTTCCCTTTTGGACACATCTCAGCACCATCATTAACATTTGCAGACAACACCTTCCCCCTCTCCCAAACCATGTGGTTTTCTGTGCAAGTCCACAGGTAGTTTAGGGAGTACAAATGGAAGAGCTGGTTGGTTCTTGCTCCTCTCCCCCACTCAGGCAAATCGGGCTCCGCTGTGGGAGCCAGACCAGCAGAGCTGGAGAGGGAGGGATGTAACGAGGAGCCAGCTCTGGAGCATTCCTACGAGGACATCCTGGCCACTGGCACTGCCACCAGCAGTGCAGGGACTCTCCATGCCCTTCCCTGCCCAGCCCAGCACTTGAGCAACACAAACCAGGTGGAGATGGGCAATAAGGTGGTGCTTCCAGCAACTTGTTGGTACCAAACAAGCCATTCCCCCCAGTAGTGCACCAGTGAGACTCTTCACCTCTGCACCATTCCCAGGCTCCTGGTAAAACATGGCTCTTCCCCAGTGGAGTTGTCCAACAGTCCGACTGTCTGTGTTTGCAGGTGTATGTCTGGCACAGCCAATGTCTGGCACAGAGAGGAGAAAGGAAGTCTGTGCCAGTGACCAGGACACGTGTCCACACTGTCTACCACACTCCAGTCCACACGTAAAGACTTTTATCCCAGGGAGGTGACCAAGATGGGAACTCACCTGGCTCCACAGCAGACATTTCTAACCCTCAGCTGTTCAAATAAGACCATACTCGTGTCAGGGATGTACCTTCGTGCTGGAGGATGCAAGTCAAGCACTGCAGCTGTGATTTGAGTCCTCCAGACACTTCATAGATATCTGTTTTTGAGATATCTGTCTGGGTCTCCCTGGAGTCAACCCAGTCTATCCAGGCACTGGAGTTAGAGCCCAGTTCAGACCTAACCCCACAGCACTCTGCCTCTGTTCTCACAGGGCCCTACAACCTCCGGGTGTGCTCACACATCCTTAACTAGGAACAAATGCAATTAACTGACACATGGAATCACCCAGAGACCTGCAAATTTCCCAAGAACAAGGAACCTTGTGAATCCCACAGGAACCCTGAGATGAGCTCGGTTGGTCAGAGCATGGTGCTAATAATGCCAAGGTTGTGAGTATGGACAATTCACTTAAGAGTTGGAGTTGGTGATCCTTATGTGTCCCTTCCAACTCACAATATTCTGGGATTCTGTGAGCATCGAACCTTAGAAACCAAGTGGATGAGAAGAATCTCATCAGGGATGTTCAGACTGTCTAACTCAGTGGGACAGTGCTGGCTCAGAAGAGGTGTTGCTGTTATATCATCTGGGAGAATAACAACACTCACCCAGAGCCCTGGACTTTGCCTGGTAGTGGGATTTCAGCACCCACATCCCAGGAAAGTGCACTTGCCAACAAGTGCAGTGTGAGATGTGGTTCCTTTCCATTTCCATGCACTATCTGTGCTCCCGTGCACCAAAGTTTCCCAAGTTCACAGCACAGAGAGAAGAAATAAGGAGGAGGGAACTGACACTGAGGAGTCTGAGAGCCTGATATAACAACACTGAGATCATTCATTGCTTGAAAGCCACAGACAAAATCTTTCGAAATTCCTTTATACCAAAACACTGCCTGTCCACATACCATCAGAACTGCCAGGCATCCAACCTCCTGAGAACAGACAGAGCACACAGGGCTGGAGTCTGTAGGCACACAGCAAAGCAAGAGCTGTAGGGTGAAAGCTAAAGTCCCAAAGTCAGACCTTGAGCAGACACAGTTTAACTCAGTGAGCTCTCCCCACGTTTGATGCATCTTGAGCAGCAACTGCAAAGCCAAGACTCTGAGCTCTTCTGTATCTCTGGGGGTTCAGGGGATCTCTGATTCGCATTGAGGGCTGAAAGGAAGGAAAATGTGGTATAAAAAGTATTGCTTGAGTGTGAAAGGGAGAAAAAGGTGACAAACATCCTCAAATTTTTACAAGAGATTTGATGAATGACACAGCGCAGGGGAGAGCTGAGAGAAACTCTCAAACTAGAGTAGAATTAGTGGGCAGAGGTTGAATACAGAAGAGGGGAGAAGAGGCAACACAGCTTTGGAAAGTGGTCAGGCCTCTTAAACCTGCTGTGAAGGAGCTACTGAACAGACAGACCAAGGACAAGTCAAATTCTACCATCTTGTAAAGTGGACAGATTTCCAGAAGAGCTTGTGTATGAACACAGATAGACTGGATATCTCCCACAATTCCTACTAGGAGAAAAAGGAACACAAGGAGAACACAGGGCTTTGAAAGCAGGACTGCCCTGCAAGTGAGTAAAGATTATTCCAACCTGTAATATACAAGAACCAGGAGGAATTGTGATAATTTATGAATTGACAGACTAAAGCTAAATGAAATGGGACACAGAGGCTGCAGTTAGACTTGAAGCCCTTCTCAATGCAGGGCACAAGGAATAAGTATCCAGGTATTCATGCAAACCATGGAAGAAAAATTCATAAAGGACCATTAAGCACAAAGATACTTTGACAGAGGAAACTCTTAAGGTATAAACTGTCAGAAACTGGAGAGGATTCTGAGAGAGCATCTCTATCTGCTGTTCTGTGCCTTTTTATGCTCTTGCCTTCACATTTCTTATTCCCAGTGCTGACTCGGGTGGTGAGGCCACATGAGCCCTTGGTCTGAGCCAGGACAGCTGTGCTACAATCCTGGGCAGAGATTATCTCAAGAATGGTCCACCAGTGGCCAGTGAGATTTGGGAGAAGGTGACTTTGCCATTCTCCAGGCCCTGAAGGATGTTGGGTGCTAATATTTGCGGAAAACCCAGACAGAATAACGACAGGCACCCTAAAAACCTTTGAAGAATTTTATGCCATTTTCAGAGCAATCTCAATAGTGCAGAGCAAACACAGCCTGGGACCACACACAGAGCAGAGATACCAAGTTTAATTCACCCCTTACACCATGCAAAGTGAAAGCTTCATGGGAAAAACACTTCCTAAAACTGAATCCAGCAACACTTTAAATTCTGACAGAGGTAATGCAGCATCCTACACAAAGAGCTGGTTGCACAGGCAAACTTACACACACAGAGAATCACAGAATATTCTGAGTTGGAAGGGACCTACAAGAATCATCAAGTCCAACTCTTTAGGGAATGGCCCATCCAGGGATCAAAGCTGCAACCTTGGTGTTATCAGCACCACGCTGCAAC